TGGGGTGACAGGGGATGGGGTGACAGGGGAAGGGGTGACATGGGGACGGGGTGACACAAGGACGAGGTGACTCAGGGTTGGGGTGACATAAGGTTGGGGTGACACAGAATGGGGTGACAGGGGATGGGGTGACAGGGGATGGGTGACAGGGGAAGGAGTGACACGGGTGGGGTGACATGGGATGGGTGACATGAGGACAGGGTGACACAAGGATGAGGTGACTCAGGGTTGGGGTGACATAAGGTTGGGGTGACAGGGGATGGGGTGACAGGGGAAGAGGTGACACAGGGATGGGTGACATGGGGACAGGGTGACACAGGGTTGGGGACACACATGGTTGGGGTGATGCAAGGATGGGGTGACATAAGGTTGGGGTGACACAGGATGGGGTGACATGGGAATGGGGTGACATGGGACAGGGTGACATGGGGAGGAGCGATATGGGATTGTGTGGCACAGGGATGGGGTGACAGGGACAGGGTGACACAGAGTGGGGTGACACAGGGACTGGTGGGCACTGGGATGGTGTGGCACTGGGATGCAATAGGCCATAGAGGCACTGGGTTGAAGTGACATGGGGACAGTGACGTCAGGGTGCCATGGGGACTGGAGGGCAATGGGATGGGGCAGTGCAAGGACAGGGTGGCAGTTGGACGTGGTGGCACGGGGATGTGGTGGTACTGGGGTGGGGTAACACAGGGATGCAATGGGCCAGGGTGGCACTGGAGGGCATTGGGCTGGGACAGAACACGGGGTGGCACAGGGATGCAGTGACAGGGAGCTGGCACTGGGATGGGGTGGCAAGGGGACGAGGTGACATGGGGACTGGAGGGCACTGGGATGGAGCAGCAGGTGGATGGACAGGGTGACACAGGGATGGAATGACACTGGGACAAGGTGGCACCTATCTGGTGGTACGGACAGGACAATGTGGGATAGCACAGGGATGGGGTGGCACAGGGACAGGGTGAGCCAGGAACGTAGTGGCACAGGGGCAAGGTATCAGTGAGCTGGACAAGGGGGAGCGGTGGGGTGGGTGGCACAGGGATGGAGTGGCACTTGGGTGGCCTGGGCACAGGGTGGTGTGGAGGGGAGGTGGCACGGGGGGGGGTGGCGTGGGGACACATTGGTGTGGTGGTGTGGGACATGGGGATGGGATGGCATGGGAATGGGATATCTGAGGGTTGGGATATCTGAGGGGTGGGATGACATGGGGATGGGATATCTGAGGGTTGGGATATCTGAAGGATGGGATGGCATGGGAATGAGATACCTGAGGGATGGGAAGGCATGGGGATGAGATATCTGAGGGATGGGAAGTCATGGGGATGAGATATCTGAGGGATGGGATGGCATCGGAATGGGATATCTGAGGGTTGGGATGGCATGGGGATGGGATATCTGAGGGATGGGATATCTGAAGGATGGGATGGCATGGGATGGGAAGGGGGATGAGGGGCACAGGGATGGGACACTCCATAGACAGAGTGACACAGGGATGGGACATCCCAGCGATGGGATAGCATGGGAATGATATATCTAAGGGATGGGATGGCATGGGAATGAGATATGTGAGGGTTGGGATGGCATGGAATGGGACATCTGAGGAATGGGATGGGATGGGGATGAGATTTCTAAGGGATGGGATGGCATGGGAATGATGTATCTAAGTGATGGGATGGAATATCTGAGGGCTGGGATGGCATGGGAATGATATATCTAAAGGATAGGATGGGACATCTGAGGGCTGGGATGGCATGGGAATGAGGAGCACAGGGATGGGACGCCCCATGGACAGAGTGACCCGGGGATGGGACACCCCAGCAATGGGACGGCGTGGGGACGAGAGGGCACAGGGATGGTTACGCCGGGGATGGAGTGGTGCGGAGACAAAGGCAGCGCAGGGAGGGCACATCCCAAGGACAGGGTGACTCGGGGCCGGGTGGTGGCGGTGGCCCCAGGCGCGGTGCCAGCCTCTGCCCACGGTGGGACCGGTCCCTCCGCAGGGAGAAGCCGGAGCCGCCGGATTTCTCCCGCTCCTCCTCCAGCGGCAGCAGCTTCGGCAGCGCCCCCGAGGAGCCGAGCGAGCCGGGACGGGTACCGGGGTGCCGGGGGCGGGGGGGATCACGGGTGCTGGGATGCGGAAGGGGGGGGACGGACACGACACCCAGCATCCCCCTGAGCCCCCCCCCCGTGCATCCTTAGGAGAACCGCTCCCCCTCGGGGACCCACCGCGACGCCTTCACCGACACCCCGTGGCCGGATGAGCCCCCCGGCACCCCCACAGGTAGCCCATCACCGGGGCGTCAGGGCACTGCGGGGCTTTAGTGGGGGGGAGACCCCAACTTATGTCCCCCCCCCCCTACATCTCTCGCCCCCTCTCCAGGCCGACGTCCCCCTGAGTCCCCCTGCCCTGAGATCAAAATCCAGCTGGAGCGGCCCCCCCCTCATCCGGTGAGGCTGTGACTCCTCCCACCCCCCCACAGTGCACCCCAGTATGGGGACACCTATATTGGGGTGCACCCATTGATGTCCTTTTGCACAGGGCTCATAGTTAACCCCCCCAATCCCTGACGGGGTGTCAACCCCCCCATGTGCCAGGAGCTGAAGCCATCGTCCCCAATGTAGGATATGGGGGGACACCCCCAAAAATGGGGGTGTCCCCACCCTCCAGACAATCTCCATCACCCCAAATCCCCCTGGGGGGGTGGTGATGGACCATGAAGTCCCCCCCTGCTGTCACCCCAAAATGAAAAGCGGGTCCGACCCGAGCATCACCCCCTCCCTAAGGAAAATGGGGGCTCAGATCCAGGGTAAACCCAAAGTGGGGAATCCCCCTGTCCCCCCATCCCCCCCCCCCCCCTTTATTTTAAGGGAAAAAAGCTCCGGAATGGGTCGGATGCTGGAAGGGGGGGGGGGGGGGAGGGGATTATTTTTTCAAGCCCCCCCCCCAAATCGTGTTTGTGTTTCCTGTGAGTCCTGTATAAAATAAAGGTTTATTTATCGCTATGGCTGCGGGGCAATGGGGGGGTCCCCAAAACCTCACACATCAGAGCTGGTGCTCTTGAAATCACCCAAATTTACCCATTTTGGGGAGTTATTTAGCCATTTTGGGGGTTATCCATTATGGAGGTTATTCACCCATTTTGGGGGTTATTCAATCATTTTGGGGACGTTATTTATTCATTTTTGGGGGGGTATGTATCCATTTTGGGGGGGTTATGTACCCATTATTTGGGGGCTAATTCACCAACTTTGGGGCATCATTCACTCATTTTTGGGGGTTATTTACCCATTTTGGGGGTTATACATTTTGGAGGCTATTCACCCATCTGGGGGGGTTATTCAATCTTTTTGGGAAGGTTATGTACCCATCTTTGGGGCGTTATTCACCCATTTTGGGGCATCATTCACCTTTTTTAGGGTGGTTATTTATCCATTTTCTGGGGGATATTTAGCCATTTTGGGGGGTTGTGTACCCATTTGGGGGGCCTTATTCACCCATTTTGGGGCGTTACTCATTCTTTTTAGGGTGGTTATCCACGTTTGGTATGTTATTTAGCCATTTTGGGGGTATCCATTTTGGAGGTTATTCACCCATTTGGGGGGGTTATTCAATCATTTGGGGGGGGTATTCATTTTGGGGGGTATGTATCCATTTTCGGGGGTTATTTATCCATTTTTGGGGTGTTATTTAGCCATTTGGGGGGGTTATCCATTTTGGAGGTTATTCACCCATTTTGGGGGGTTATTCAATCACTTTGGGAAGGTCATTTACACATTTTTGGGGCGTTATTCACCCATTTTGGGGAGTTATTTACCCAAATTCGGGGCTTTGGCTGAGCAAAGCCTATCTCCGCGTTACCGCTATCTAGGAGGGGGGAGGCTGTGGGTACCCCAAAGCACGGCAAAGCACGCCTCCATCACCCCCCCTCCCCATAAACCACCCATCCAACCCCTCTCTTTGGCTCCGCGGCCACCCCGGCGTCGGGAGCCGCCTTTGGCCGGTGGCCACCGGCACCATTCCAAACCCCCGGCCAAGGAAAAGCGGTTCCCCCCCCCGCCTCCCCCCAGCCCCGAACCCCCCAAAACCGGTTAAACATAGCCGGGGACTGGGAAGCGGTTGTGCCGCGGTCGGGAATGCCGCCGCTGTGGGTGCGAAGGGCGCCTGGAGAAGTGGGGGTGTCCCAACAGCATCCCCCCCCCCCCCCCCCCCAATCCAGGCCAGCGCCTGCTCCAGAGCCTTCCGGTTAATGGGAAACCGGAGCAGGGATTTATTTATAAAGCTGGTAAATAAATATAAAGGGGGGGGGGGGTGGGAGCGCTCAGGGGAGGTTTGGGGGTGCTCATGGGGGGTTCGGGGTACTCTATGGGGAGTTTAGGGGTGCTGCACACGCAGGATGCAGCTGGGGGTGTGCAGGGGGGCTGCTCGTGTGCACGTCCGCACATGCACCCCCGGTGGCATCTGCCCCTACAGAGCATCCCTTGCACGCGAACAACGGCGTTTGCACGAGTAAAGCACCCTTGAGGCTCAGCGCTTGCACACTCAGAGCACCATTGGCACACCCAGAGCCCCCTCTTCAGCCTCAATTCCCCCCCGCCTCATTCCCCCTCTCAGTGGGTACCAACCACCCCCTAACTCCCCCTTTGCTCCCCTCTCCCTGCAGTTCCCACCCCAAATCCCTCCCGGGGCAGCGCATTGTTTCAAACCGAAGGCTTTTAAAGCGGAATCAATCACGCAGAAGGCACAAAAAAAAAAAAAGCCCAACTTTTGGGGACAAATGAACCCGGGGAGTTAATCTTTTTTCCCATCTTCGTGTGGTTTCGGGGTCGCCACACACGTGGGGAGTTGGGTTCAGTCCTCAGCCAAGGCACCGGGCAGCGATGTGGGACCCGGCCCCACTGCGTCTGGCTCAAAGAGGGGGGTTTTATCCGCTGAGGCTCCGGCTCTCATCCCAAATCCCGCGGTGGGATCGGGATAGGGCAGGCAAGGATGCTAATTACAGGGGAAGGAACCGTGTATTTACAGAGGCAGCTCCCAGCACGAAACCGCCGGCGGCTGCTTTTTTGCTCCGCTGAGTCTTTCTTTTTTGCTCTCCTCTTTCCCGGGCGCTGCCATCCACAAAAACCCAAAGAGAAGGGAGGAGGGAGGCAGGAATTAAAAATAAATCCCCCCTCGCACACACACCCCTTCGGTGCTTTGCAAGAGGCACTTTAGCAGAGGAGGAAGAGAAGAGCGAGGAAGGGCAGCAGCACGGAGGCACCGGGGCGGACGGCAGCGTTGCAGTGGGCTCGGTTGGAGCCGATGCAGGCGGCGTAAGCCATGGCGTGGGGGATGTAGTTCTGCTCGTGGACGCCGTGCAGGAGATGGGCCATGGGGCCGCGGGCGAAGACGGCCACGTCCTCCCCGCCGTGGGTCTCCTGGCGCAGGGGCACGGCTGATTGCGCCTGGTAGTCAGCGTGCGCTGGGGTAAAAGACAGCCCCAGATCAGTATAAGCAGTGAAAGGCACTGATTTACCCAGGTTGTTATGGTTTCAGGGGGTTTTGCCCAAAACCCACTCACCGAAATCCACAGCGGAGACGTTTTCGCGCTCCCCTGCCACTATCTTATAGCCGGGGCCGTTGCCGTAGAGGATGGAGGTGAACGGTTTGCGGTCCACGTCGCTCTGCATCGGAGCCAGACCTGCCGGTGGCGGCACCATCAGCGCGATGGGGACATCCCCGCGTTGTCCCTGTGGTGTCTCCTCACCCCGTGCCCACCACGGACTCACCGAAGATGGGGTTCCCTCGCGGGGTGTAGCCGCCGAAGGTGAAGACGTGCGAGTGGTCGGCGGTGACCACGCTGAGCGTGTCCTGCACCGACGTGAGGCGAGTGGCCAGCCCGATGGCCCGGTCCAGCTCCACCGCCTCGTGCAGCGCCTGCTTTGCCTTCCCCTCGTGGTGCCCGTGGTCGATGCGGCCCCCTGCGGTACCCGGCACGGCTCAGCATCGCCCTCCATCCCCCTTTGACAGCCCTCATAACCCCCTTTATCCCACCTATGTATCCCCCTATCACCCCCTTATCCCCCCCTTGACATCCCCCATTGCCTGCTTATCATGCCTTTTGCATCCCCCATCCCCCCTTTTATCTCCCCCTTTTCATCCTCCACTGTCCCTTTATTCCCCACTTTATTCCCCCATCACTCCCTTTATCCCCGCCTTGACATCTCCATGGTCCCCATTATCTCACTGTTTATGTCCCTCTTTGTGCCTCCTTTATTCCCCCTTTGCATTTCCTTTAATCCCCCCTGAATATTACCCCTCTTCCTTTATCCTCCATCACCCCTCTTATTTCCCACTTTATCCCCCACTTTGCATCCCCCTTTATCCCCATCTCTTTGCATCCCCATCACCCTCCTTTTGACCCCCACATCCCCTCCACTCCCCTTTGCATCCCCATATTCCCCCTGTCCCACCTTCAACCAGGAGGAAGAACCCCCGGGGGTTTTTCTGGAGCATCCTGATGGCTACAGCCACCATCTCGGTGAGGGACGGATCCGTCTCATTGTTCCTGTCCAGCTCGTACACCATGTCACCCGGCTCAAAGAGGCCTGGGGACAATGACACTGCTGGGCACATCCTTTCCCCACCAGTAAACAAAAAAAGGCAGGGGACAGGACACACAGATCCAGCAGCACCGACTGCTTCTCCTGGCTCAGGCTACCGGATCCTCAATGCTTAGATAGGAGCCGGGGGATGCTCCCAGCCCTTCCTTCCTCCAGCCCAGCCGAACCCTGCATCCCGGGCTGGGGAATTGTGCCATGGGCTCCCAAAACCAGCCTGCATCCACAGGGAGGGGTATCAGCATCCCTGGGGGCGTAACAGCATCCCTTTGGGGTACCAGCATCCCCAGGGGAAGGTACCAACATGTTTAGGGGGTACCAGCATCCCCAGGGGAAGGTATCAACATGTTCAGCAGGTACCAGCATCCCCAGGGGAAGGTACCAACGTGTTCAGCAGGTACCAGCATCTCAAGGTGGTGTACCAGCATCTCGGGCGTAAAAGCATCCCTTTGGGGTACCAGCATCTTGGGGGTAAAAGCATCCCTTTGGGGTACCAGCATCTTGGGGGGCACCAGCATCCCTTGAAGGCAGCAGCATCCTTGGCTGGCCAGTCCAGCTGCCCCAGCACCACAGGCCAGGCCAGGGGTGCCTCCCCCCAGCACCCAGTTAAAGCCAGAGCACCCTTGGGTGCCAGGACTCACCCAGGAGGAAGTCGACACGGCTGAGGTTGAGCGCCAGCAGGTCCCTCCGGTGCCACACATACTTGGCAACCTGGGAACAGGCACGTTGTCACCTCCCCATCCCCTCAGCCAGCCCGGGGCTGCTCTATCCCCA